TTGAGAGGTAGAAAGTGGATGGTTCACTTGTTTGTCTGTGCAAGACTGTGGTACGTTCTCTTACCCGTTTTCTGTGGTGTGTTGGTGAGACTTGGAATATGAGCTACCTCTCCCTCACATGCCACCAAATCCCCTCCCTCCCTCTTGACTAAAGCATAGGAGTTGTAAGGAGGGGGGTCCGGACTGGGTAGGATTTATTTTTCTCTCCACGAGCTATTCTTTTCTCGTGAGAGCCCCCCCCCCTCCCATTCCTCACTTAGGAATGCTTTGATGCCGGTGAGGGGCTCTTGATTCGAGGAACTGAACTGCAAGAAACCCCTCTGGCGTGCCCTAAGTACACTATGGAGAAGCTTGGATATGGGTGAAATTCCAGTCACTTAAAACAACGGATATAGCCCCACTCCATAAAGGTGGCAGCAAAGCATTAGCTAAGAACTATAGACCAATAGCTCTGACGTCCCGCATAAAAATCGTTGAAAGAGTGCTAAGAAGCAGGATTGCAAATCACCTGGATTCCCAAAATCTGCACAATCCAGGGCAACATGGGTCCAGGGCAGGTCGCTCCTGCCTCTCACAACTACTGGATCACTATGATATGGCCTTGGATGCACTGGAAGAAAATCAGAATGCAGATGTAATATACACAGACTTTACAAATGCGATCATGGCGTAATAGCGCACAAAATACGTGCTAAAGGAATAACTGGGAAAGTGGGGAGATGGATCTTCAACTCCCTAACAAATCGGAGGCTGCCATAGTGAAGAGCTCTGTCCCACAAGGCACAGTACTCGCCCCCCATCTTATTCCTCACCCTCATATCAGACATAGACAGAGATATACACCACAGCACCGTATCATCCTTTGCGGATGATACTAGGATCTGCATGAGGCTGTCGGTTAACCGGTTAACCTCCAAGAAGATATAAACAAAGTTTTCCAGTGGGCAACGGAAAACAATATGATGTTCAATGAGGACAAATTCCAACTACTCCGTTATGGAAAGCTGGAGGAGATAATAACTAGAACAGAGTATACTACAAGCTCTGGCCATACAATAGAGCGGAAAAATAATGTAAGGGACCTGGGAGCAGTAATGTGTGAGGATCTCACTTTCAAGGATCACAACAGTGCCACGATCACAAGTGCAAAGAAAACGATAGGATGGATAATGCGAACGTTCAAAACGAGAGATGCCGAGCCAATGGTGATCCTTTTCAAATCACTTGTTCTCTCTAGGTTGGAATACTGCTGTACATTAACATCTCCATTCAAAGCAGATGAAATCGCAGATCTAGAGAGTGTACAGAGATCCTTTAATGCACGTATAAGTTCTGTCAAGCACCTTAACTACTGGGAACGCTTGGAAGCACTTGACTTGTACTCGTTGGAACGCAGGAGGGAGAGATATATCATAATCTACACTTGGAAAATCTTGGAAGGAATGGTCCCGAATCTGCACACAGAAATCACTCCCTACGAAAGTAAAAGACTGAGCTGGCCATGCAAAATGCTCCCAATTAAAAGTAGGGGCCCCATTGGTACACTAAGAGAAAACACCGTAAGTGTCCAGGGTCCAAGACTGTTCAACAGCCTCCCATCAAGCATTAGGGGAATTACCAATAAATTACCCCTGGCTGTCTTCAAGAGAGAGCTAGATAGATACCTAAAGTCAGTGCCGGATCAGCCGGGCTGTGGCTCGTACGTTGGACTGCGTGCGGCCAGCAGTAACAGCCTGGTTGATCAGGCCCTGATCCACCGGGAGGCCTGGTCATGGGCCGGGCCGCGGGGGCGTTGATCCCCGGAATAACCCTCCAGGTAAGCACCCTTCCCTTCCTTGGATCAAACCTGAATGTCTCCTATTCCCAGGCGCTATGTGACACGGACAGGTTTAGCGCTTTCCCGTGAATAAAATAAAATGAAATTCGTGATTCGGTCGCACACTGAAATCGTAATTATTCATAGTTTTTATCTAGCATTTTAAATAACATAAAAAATATTAACCAAAAAGTCATCTGAAATGATTAAGGTATACTTTTGATACCTCTTTGACTGTCCTGGGATTGTCTGGTGCTTTTGAATTTAATTTAGTGTGGTCAATAATGTTAAATTTCGTCAGAACGACAATTATCGATTGCATACTTATTCTGATTCATAGTTCAAATATTTCCGCTGTTGATCCACAGCTCTTTTGTTTGGCCGCCCTGAACTTGGTATAGTTCTTATGGATCTTTTTTTTTTTGTGAAATCAAGGGAATGAACTAGACTTATATAGTTCTTCGTTTAACAGTTGTATTTAATTGCAAATTCCAAGTTTACCTATTAATATATTTTTTATTTGTCAAGTGGATCGAACTAGACGAAAAGGTGATGGAGGTAAACACTATACACAGTTTCAAGAGTAGGCATGATTGGGGCCTGGAAGGCAGGAATCTGTAAAGCAGGTCGACGAAAGGGCTAGGCCGGGAGCTATGATTCAACCCTTGTAAACATGACTAATTACACTGCTTCTCCGACAAGCACAAGTTTGGTCATCATGCCTCCAGGTGCTAGGGCATGATGGCAACCGTGTAAGTGTAATTTAAATTAAGGTGGAAGGTACCTGTGTGTGGTGGCGTATGTGGCTAGTGCTACATCAGGCCTTCGTGGGCAAAACCCTCAATTGAAATAATTTACAAGACAATGATCGCAAGTTTTTTTTTTTTTTTACTACTATCAGTAAATATGTTTCCAGAGAGCTTGCCTTTATAATCAGATTCTTTAACGATATAAAATTACTTTTAAATTTCAGGCTATAATTTTCATTAATTAATCATTAAATATTTTATAACAAAATGCGCGAGTTGAATAGCACCGTGCTACATTGGCAGTGATATTTCTTCCATATTAAAAATAACTTACTCATACACTAAGTTAACTTCAGGTACTCCTAGTGAAGTAGGTGTAAGTATTCTTAGCTTATTCATGCATTTAATTTACGCTTCTCGATATTTTGTCGTGTAACAATGGTTATAAATGACCATAATTTTTAAAGGGGTGGACCGATAAGCCAGCGGAAGGCCTCGGTCAGATGACCAAAAGCTCCAAAGGCGGGTCATCATCTGACTAAGACCCGCGTCAGGAAACATTTGTCCTGTTTCCTGACGAACCTAACCTAACCTAGCTTCTCGATAAGTTGCCAGATGTGGCGGAACCTCACATAGAAAACGGTTCTCACGAGACCGCAATTTTCCCAGTCACCAATTGCCAGATTTAATGGTTCTTGCTCGCAGTATTTTATATTAACCCTAGACGCCGGAAATAAATTTGGAGTTAAGCTTTTACACACACAACCCGCATTTAAGAGAGGGAAAGCAATGGCGACGCTTTCGGTCCGACTTGGACCATTGACAAGTGTGACTTGTCGAATGTTAATGGTGCAAGTCGGCCAGGAACGTCAATTCTTTCTTATGACTTTTTACTCAGTGAGGTTTTTATTTGATAAGACAAGATGTAGTGTGGATAGTGTTGGAGTTGTAATTAGCTAGATGAGTGGCTGAACCATGTAAATATTTAAAACTGAACCGTTCCTAGTAATTTAAATGTTGTAGTGGAAGTAATACTTGTGTTGAACCACGGGCCACGTAGAGCCAATAAAACTTTTGAATTACTTTATTCACTGAAACGGAGGAGAGATACATGATAATATATACCTGGAAAGTACTCTAGGGGCTTGTTTCAAATCTGCACACTACCATAACAAGATACTGATATGATATGTATAGGACAAAGTGCAAAATAAAGCCAGTGAAAAGCAGGGGCGCCGTGGGCACAATAAGAGAACAATGTATCGATGTCCGTGGCCCTGACTAATCAATATCTTACCAAAAGATATCAGAAAGTGCTGGGACAAGTGTAGAAGTCTTCAAGAGGAAACAGGACAAGTATTTTTACCAGGTGCCAGATCAACCAGGCTGTGAGGAATATGTGGGCCGGCTGGCCGTCAGCAGCAATAGCCTGGTTGACCAGGCAAGCACCAGACGCGCCTGGCCCAAGGCCGAGCTCCGGAAATAGAAAAACTCTAGAAACTCATTAAAGGTAAAAAAAAAAAATGCTTTCAGTTATAGAGTAGGAAGGGTGGGAATACAGTCTAGATTTAGATATCGCCATTCAGTATGGTTTGTGATGGCCGTGATTGTCAAATAGGTAAATAATAATGAGAGCCATCACTACAGTTGCGCAACCGCTAGACGAAACCTAGCACATTATACGTATTATGAAGTGGGTGCAGGAGTACCGCACCACTCCAGCACACTTGAAATGTTTTTTTTTTTTTTTACCCTCCAATCCCCCCATCATCTTTCTCGTTACGGGAGCTTCAAAAGTTTCGTTTCAACCGCGGCTGGACTTACTATCATTTGAGATGATAATCCTCAAGCAATAGTAACCCCAGTTCTGCTGGAACGAAACCATGCAACCCTACCGTCTGACATCTTTATTGCGCTACAAAAGTCTCCAGCTCAGCCCTACACGTTATACATTATATGATGGAATATGTAAGAGGAAACCTGTTACTTTACATTATGTGATAAAATATGACAGGAAAATATAGTGACTTTTTATTCCCATGATGCAACTGTAATCTAGAATTGAGTAGCAGCACACTGCTGATGTGTCTAGCTTTGCTAAATAAAGTCTTCCCGCGTCTCTGGAAGGACACCCAGAGTTTTGTTGCCCATGTGTGGCGCTAAGTTTGATTTGATAAACGGTGATGGTGCCCACACCTGGTTGTCAGTGGAGATCAACGCAGGAAGACGACTTTTCGTCTCATTAATGTAGCTGCAGTGGAGCGACTCTTACTTAATATATATTTGGCGGGGAAGACGGTGCGCGGTATCACAGGAGAAGTCATAGGTAGCGACAAGAGAAAGTGGTGATAATCGGCAGTGGTGGGAGACGCGGAGGAGCCTCATTGATCAGGCGGTTACCATAGCGACGCTCCCCCCTGCCTCCCCTCAGCACGTACGCTCCTAGCGGCAGCGCCACGCACCATAACACTCACACTTACCAAACATCTACTTAGCAAGTGCCACACCTGATGATTACTGATAAGCTCGACACGCTAAGGTGGTGACTGTAAGTGCGACGAGGCTTTAGGACTGGAGTGTTGCGTAAGAGAGGCAGTGACGCCAGTAAGTGCGTTGGTGTTGATGCTGGCGTAGTGTTGGTGCTGAGTGTCTAGTGCTCATGTTGTACAGTACTCGCGCCACCTGGCAATGTGCGGGAGAGAGACGAGTTGTATGCGCTGCTACAAGTGTGACATGTACAGTGAAGGGTGCCCTGCCTCACACTAGGTGTGGGCAGCGGTGTAAGGCAAGAGGGAGGAATGCGCATGTACCAGGGGCCATTACCGCCGCCAGGGGGGCTGCCCCTGCCTGCCCGCCGTGGCGGCGGCGGCAGCAGCAGCAGGGCATCACAACATCTGCCCACCCTCCGTGCCCATCACCATCATCACCGTCCTCTTCCTCTACCTTCACGTACCCACCACCACCACCACCATCACCACCACCACCATTACCACAGGACTGGCCATGGCCACAGCCACCATCACCACCACCATAGCTCCAATAATTCTCAAGGTAGGCGTATTGTCACTGGTTATCATACAAGTCTCAGTCAAATTTAAATCTCCATAAAGTTTTTAATGAGGTGCTCAAAAAAAAAAAAAACACGAGGCAATAATGTACAAAATAGTCAGTGTGATAATGGTAAGTAAATACAATTAACTGAAAAAGGTTCCATATACACGGAGCTCATTAAATGTATGAAATAAACCCAGTTGAATTCTAAATTTTAAGGTATATTTAGAAGTGTTCATAATAAAATGCCGTATTTGAGCTCATAAGAAGTCGATTGGTAATAGCACTGGTCCTGGGCTTATTTTGGCGGTAAATTCTAGTTTAAAATGTATGATATTAAGTTGGTTGTGCCAGTGAGAGAGTTTTGTTGTGCAGTTGGAAAAGCTAAATAAGCCTACAATAACCTAACGTAAGAGTTGCCAAACTTACTCCGTTATCAGCAGGACTAGAAACGGCATGTCTTTGTTTACATTTACTGTGACTAGGCGCATTGACTACTTCCATGATGTAGACACCTTGTATGTACAGTACTACTCTCTAGTACAGTATGTAGTAATGTCCGAGTCCTACTTAGGATAAAAACTGAATAATGGTCGTCAGTTGGATTATGTAGAATTTATAGGTATGGCTACCGTACAATAGCATGGGTGTAAATTATCATGCAAATGTATAAGGATGGATGACAAAGCTATATGCACATATTAGAAATATTATGAAGAAAGAAATGTGCATTCCTTTGAAATGCTTCGAATGACGGGCAGCATCTTAAGTGTGTACATGTGGATGAAAGGGTTTTATAGGTGTGTGTGTGTGTGTGTGTGTGTGTGTGTGTGTGTGTGTGTGTGTGTGCGTGCGTGCGTGCGTGCGTGCGTGCGTGCGTGCGTGCGTGTGTGTGTGTGTGTGTGTGTGTGTGTGTGTGTGTGTGTGTGTGTGTGCGCGTGTGTGCGTGTGTGCGTACACACACACACACACACACACACACACACACACACACACATACATACATACATACATACATACATACATACATACATACATTCACATTCACTTAGACTGAAGTTTTGCATTGTGGATAAAGTACTGTGTACTCTGATGCCAAGTTTGCATGTTTGAGTCCTGCTGTGGACAGAGAGATAGGGTTTATATGTATGTATGTATGTGTTGACCAGGTACAGCCAGTAATTGTTGAGTGTGGGCAAATAGGTCTTTTGCAGTAACCTTTAATTAATCTTATGTTTTTAAATGTGATTACAGTACCGTACTTTGTGAACATCCTGCCTGTGTATATCCCAAATTGTAAATAATTAGTAATTAACTGTGAGAGAGAGAACCGTTACAATTCATCATTTATTATATTAGTGGGATATGGAAATTTGTAAAATGTTTGTAAGATTGCAGTTTTTTCTGTCTTGTGAACATTTTAGTTGGCAGGTAAATTTACATACCTTCAGAATGCAGTACTCTTCTCATTGCTTTCCTTTGTTTCTTAATCGAGTAGTTCTTATTAGTGCATTACCTATATTTCCTTTCCATTTCAAGAGGCATGGTCTGAAATTGGCACCATTAGCAGATACTGTGTTATCAACATTTTGTATTTTTACATTACATTTTGTATATTTTATGTAATGTGCTGAGTTTATCATTTTCTAAAAGCCACTTAAGGAGAGAGGAGAGACAAGGCTGCTTTGTACTGTATAAATATTACAATTAGAAGTGAGAAAACTTTTATTTGTGTTATTGTAATAAAATTACAGTACACATAATGTACTTTCACATAGTTACCATACACTTTAAGTGAACTGCTTTGCATAAAATGTGCAACATTATGTTAACTTGTTTCCATATTTACTTTCAGACAAAAATCTGGAGATGTCTCGCTCAAAGCAGTCAAAAGCACTGTAAGTATTATAAGATCCAATTTTCTTTCTTTTTGATATTATGAGGCTTTTATTAATAATTTGGTTGATTGTCATTGCCTTGTCTTGTAGAAGTATATTTTATGTATTCATCCATAGTTAGTTTTGAAATATTTTTATTTAGAGTGAATCAAAGGGAAATGGTCATGGATAATATTTCCTTCATTTCAGTGATGAAAGTCATGCCAATGAACTCATTCTCTCTGAGGACAGCGATGACGACATGGTAATTAACTACAGTACATATAGTATATAATAGCAGTCATTTGCTTTTAAGTGATTAAAGTTATTTATATATTTTTTAGCTGCTTTGATAACTTTTATTTAATGGTAGAACAGTGATAGTACAGTAACTTATTGACATAAGTTTAAAATGAAAATATTTTGCATGTTATGTACTTTCATATTTTTAATTTATCATTGTAATATTTTGGGGTTGAGAAAATGTAATTATGTTTGAAACCTTCAGATATTTTCTCATGTTTATGTATTGTTCTATATTGTAAGTGTACTTTATATAACAGGAAAGGTATAGTAAATGGCAGACAGTGTCTAGCTTGACCCATCTTGGTACTCCTAACTTATTGTATTATTATTGTACTTTATATAGCAGGCAAGGAGTGGTGCATTAGTAAATAACAGGCCAGTGTCTAACTCGGCCCAGTTTGGTACTCCTGCTAGCCAGCTACAGTCTTCTATAGGGGCACCTTCAAACTCCATCCCCCCACTGTCACCAATTTCACCAAAGACTTCAGAAGAATCATCCTCTTCAGACGATACCAGTGATGATTCAGATGTGTCTTCCAATAATACGTCTGATGATGACCAACCAGAGTACTCCCCTAAGGTGAGTCAAAGCAGTTTAAGCACTGCTCTAAGATGTATCTAATTCAAATAGGAAAATGTTAATACAGTACGTATCTAGATCAAAAAGCTGTATGTGAAGTTACCTTTATTCAAGTACATTTACTGTACTTTTTTTTTTAATATATCAGAAATCTCCCACAGATGAGCCTGGCCCAAGGCCAGGTTCTGGGAGTAGGAAGACTCTCAGAACTCATCGAAGGTATAAAGATATACAGTAGGGCCCCGCTTTATGGTGTTCCGCTAATACGAACATTTCACATTATAACCAAAACTCCCTAGACGGCTCCCCCACCTGACATTCTAATATGGTCACCGCACTCCCTGAGTACTGTGTCTCTCCATTATGTGTGGAAACTTTTCAAATTTTCAAGTACAGTAGGGCCCCACTTATACAGCAGGTTAGGTTCCAGACTACCGGCAGAAAGCGGAATGGCATTTGTTTCCCCTTAACCCTTAAACTGTCCAAACGTAGATCTACATTGATGTGCGTAGTGCTCCGACCTTGATTTTTTCCATTTGAAAGCACGTAATATTGGACGTAGATCTACGTTCGGAGCACTACGCACGTCAACATAGATCTTTGTTTGAACAGTTTAAGGGTTAAAAATGCCAGATAATAAGTTTACATTAACATATGTAAGTTAGCAATAGAACTAGGCATTAAAAAACAATAAAAAGTAAAATACACACACAGTACGCTCATTACTTACCTCAAAATATTTGTAGTCATAATGTAGGGTGAAAAGTGAGTAGTGTTTATTGTAAGAAGTCAGGTGTGGTAGGTATGGTAGCCCACAAGGCCAACCCACTCACAGGTAATATGCTACGACACTTAAAGCGCCCTAGAACCATAAGATGCATGTAGTATTCACTCATTACTTACCTTAAAATATTTGTGGTCCTAATGGTCGTAATATAGGGTGCAAGGTGAATAGTACAGTGGAACCCCGAATATCGGCTGCTGCGTTGATCGGCCGATTCGTATTTAGGCCAGTCTTTGGGCTGAAATTTTGCTCCATATTTTGACCGGTACTTCATAAATCAACTGTATTATACGCGTCAGCCCGCCTCCTGCCGGAACGCCGCTGCGTAGGTGAGTCAGCCTCTCTTGTGTCTTTCGGTGAATGAGCATATACTCTGCACATACATCCAAACATTTCCTTAAAATCCATTGGGTTTTGTGCTTGTTTATTAAGTGTGACTGTGGAATAAGCCACCATGGGCCCAAAGAAAGTTCCTAGTGCCAGCCCTTTGGTAAAGAAAGTGAGAAACAGAATAGAATTTAAGAAAGAAGTTATTGAAAAATATGAGTGTGGTGTTCGAGTGCTAGAACTTGCCAGGATGTATGGGAAATCCAAATCAACAGTCACTTATATCATGGCAAAAAAAAGAACAAATCAAGAAAGCTGATGTGGTGAAACGGGTAAACAAGTTAACGAAAAAGAGATCACAAACAAAGGAAGATGTGGAGAAGTTGTTGTGGATTAGAGAAAAACAGTTGCATGCGGATCTTGTAAAGAAAATGCCTGGAACTAGTGCTGTTAGTGAATTTAAGGCCAGCAGAGGCTGCTGTGACAGATTTAAGAAGCGTAGTGGCATACACAGTGTTGTAAGGCATGGTGAGGCTGTAAGTTCAGACAAACATGTGGCTGAAAAATTTGTGCAGGAATTCGAGGGATATAGAGACTGAAGAATTGCACCGCCAACAAGTGTTCAGTTGTCACGAAACAGGCCCCTTTTGGAAGAAAATGCCAAAGAGGACCTATATCGTGCAGGAGGAAAAGGCACTTCCTGGACACAAGCCTATGAAGGATAGGCTAACTTCTTTTGTTCTGTGCTAATGCTAGTGGGGATTTCAAAGTGATGCCTTTACTGGTGTATCACTCTGAAAATCCCAGAATGTTCAAGAAAAACAATGTTGTGTGTGATGTGGAGGGCTAACAGTAAGGCATGGGTCACAAGGCAAATTTTCATTGACTGGGTCCATGAAGTGTTTGGCCTGAGTATGAAAAAATACCTACAGGAAAATTAATTGCCACTCAATTGCCTCCTGGTAATGGACAGTGCTCCTGCTCATCCTCCAAACTTGGTAGACCAATTGTCTAGGGATTTCAGTTTTATAACAGTTCTTGCCTCTAACACCACTTCTCTCATCCAGCCCATGGACCAGCAGGTCATTTCTAACTTCAAAAAACTCTACACAAAAGCAGTATTTCAAGGTGCTTTGAAGTGACCTCGGACACTGAATTGATCCTAAGAGAGTTCTGGAGGAATCAATTCAGTATCTACAACTGCATAAGCCTTATAGGTAAGGCTTGGCAAGGAGTGACTTCCAGGACTTTGAACTCTTCTTGGAGAAAATTGTGGCCAGAATGTGTCCTCCAGAGGATTTTGAAAGGTTTGAGGCTGACCCTGATGACCCTGTGCCTGTGTCTTTGGGGAAGTCCATGGGGTTGGATGTGAGTGGCGAGGATGTGGAAGAGTCAGTGGAGGATCACAGGGAAGAGCTAACCACTGAAGAGCTGCAACACTTTCAACTGGAACAGCAACAGACCACAGCTGAAGAAATTGCTTCAGAGGAGGAGGAAGAGAGAGGGAAGGAGGTGTCTTCTTCAGAGATTAAGGAGATTTGTGCAATGTGAAGTAGGGTGCAAGTTTTTGCTGAGAAATATCACCCTAACCAAGCTGAAACAAGCCATATCTGCAACATGCTTAGTGATAAAACCTTGGCCCACTTCAGGCAGATCTTAAAAGGTACCAGAAACAGACCTCTCTGGACAGTTTTTTTTTTTGGTGCGACAGGGGTCCAGTGACACTCAAGCTGGTCCTAGTGCCATTTAAAAACAAAGAAGGGAAGTAACCCCAGAGAAGGACTTGATACCTAAAGTCCTTATGGAGGGGGATTCCCCTTCCAACCAATAACCTCTCCTCCTCTCTCTCCCCTCCTCCCTGTCTTCCATACGCCAACAAGTCTTCAATACAGGTATGGAATAACGATTTAAATACAGTGTACCCCCGGTTAACGATATTTTTTCATTCCAGAAGTATGTTCAGGTGCCAGTACTGACCGAATTTGTTCCCATAAGGAATATTGTGAAGTAGATTAGTCCATTTCAGACCCCCAAACATACACGTACAAACGCACTTACATAAATATACTTACATAATTGGTTGCATTGGGAAGTGATCGTTAAGCAGGGGTCCACTGTATTCATTTATATGTAATTGTCATTGTTTTGTGTTTATAAAACTATAGTTAAACTTTACAAAATATGTTTTTTTATTATTATTTTTGGGTGTCTGGAATGGATTAATTGTATTTACATTAATTCTTATGGGAAATATTGCTTTGAATTTAGACCTTTTCGAATTTAGGCCGACCTTCTGGAACGGATTACGGCTGATATTCCGGGTTCCACTGTATTTATATGTAGAAAGTCAGGTATGGTAGCCCGTCTGGCCAACCCACCCACATATAATATACTAGGCATTTAAAGCGCCCTACAGCGATAAAATGCACATGCAGTACACTCATTACTTACCTTAAAATATTTGTAGTCTTAATGTAGGGTGAGAGGTAAGTAAATGAGATAAAAACGAATAAACAAGAGAGAGAGAAAACGGGTAAATGAGAGAGGACAGAGCTGCAGAATGTGTAAACAAACAGATCATAATACAAACACCTTACACTGTGTACGAGTTGTCTCCACATTGGTACAGTAAAGAGCAACACACCCATTCTCATGTAACACACCATTTTTAGAAGGAATGATGCTCTGAGTAAAGGAATATGAAAGGAATAATTTTCTTTCCGACACCCCGACAAGATGACTGGAAAAAATCTCATATTTATGTTAATTTATTCTACTGTGGGTGTATTTATCATGTTTAAATGTTACATAGCATGTTTATTATAAAATTTTGAAAAAAATACATAGATGGGTTAAGCGAAAATGTCTATATATTAACGTTTTATACAACATTTAATGTGCCTCAGAGTGATGTATTATGTATTATTATCATTATTAATATGGCATCTTCAAGACTAACAAGACACTCTTAATGATTTTAGTATGTACCTATGTCGTGGGGGTTCGAAAGGAGATATGATGGTTGAAGATAAACACACTTGTGGATGGTAACACTATATATTGTCAGACTGTGGTAAGGGAGCCCAACTTGCCGTGCGTTGCCTGGTAGACCTATGCGTGGACTGAGGAAGTTACAGAGGTACTCACGTACACATGTGCATCAAGTGACATCACACAGTCACTAGGCCTAGTAAGGGATCGTATATATATAAAACATATGGATGGTACTATGATACTCAGATAAGCTATACAACACATGTAAGGGGATCAGCATCTATGCTGACAGCTCGGTCATGTTACGTATGTCGTCTCGACATACACTACTATGCTATAGGCTGAACAGGCAGGTGGCTCTGGGCTGATTCTATACAATAACAAAGACATACGTAACGTAGAACTAATGGATGGTATCATAATGGATGTTAACATAATGGGTTTTAACGTAATGAGTTTTAACATAATGCATTACGAATTATAAGAACAAATCATGGTATAATATAGGATGGAATTGATCGATCGATCTGTACTCATGCACTCTACGGATTCTGAGGAAGAATAAATATATATACAAGGTGAAAGTAATTAACAGCAAAGGCAAATCTGGTGCACACAGATCATTACTGTTAAATTCTCAGAACTCGGAGGTAACATGAACACGAAAAAAAAAATTTTAAAACTGATCAGCTGATAACAAAACACAGTTGAGAACTTCATTCATCTTGGACATCTAATTATACAGACTATGTACATTTAAACCCAACTCTGCGAGGGTAAGATTTACATATGCAGAATGGTTATCATCTTTGGGTGGATCGAATTCTTCTGCGATGGCTAACACATGCCTTGACTGAGGGTGATCTGCACGAGTATCTACAAAAGATACAGCTAC